ATTATTATTCATCATCTCGTACCATCCACCTATTCATCCTGGATAATATACATGGAAACATGTTTAATAAGCCTTAAATTCGACTGTTATGATCCATTATTGGAGCATCATCCTGGATGATACACGTGGCAGTGCGTTTAAATGTTTTTATTATTATTATTATCAAATAATGGTGGTCTAGTCATCAAATATCTTTCAGGTGTTTCACGGTTTCCAAAAGTAGCCATGATCATTTTTAAAAAGATGTCCAAACCTTAATTTTTGAATATAGGCTCTAATAGCACTTGGAAGTTTGAATAGGTTATTAGACCTAAAGATTTTCACTAAGGCTAATTAAGAGGGGGTGGGGGTAAATTGGTTATTTAAAAATTCTCTTGGTAATTTAGAATGTAAATTTTAGATTTTATCCCAATAACAAATTTTCTCAAATATTTCTCTAACAAAAAAATTAAAACTTGCAGAAAATAAAACTATAGTAAAGTAAAGACAAAAAAAAAAGAATTTTATAGTGGTTCGGTCCAACTAGACCTACATCCACTCCCTAAAGATTCCCTCTTTAGGTATTTCATTATACCAAAGTTACTCTCCTTTTTATCCCACATTAAGGTAGAGAAGACCATACAATAACCTCTCTTCCACCAACTCCAATGCGGCAAAGTACCATCACCCTTTCTCACCCGCCTAGTAACAAAAAAGTACCAATATCCTTTTTCACCCTCTTGTTGATGGTAAAGCACTCGCATTCCTTTTCACACTCATGGTGATGGTATAGTACCATTATCCTTTCTAACCCTCATGGTTATGGCTGATAACTAATGTCTTTCACACCTTCTTGATGTTAGCACAGTACCGTCATTCTTTCACACCCTTCTAATATCCGCCAAGTACCAATGTCCTTTCACACCCTCTTTGTGTTGACATAGTACCGACATCCTTTTTTACCCTCCTGTTGATGACAGAGTACCAGACCTCCTTTGAAAATCTTCTTTTAAGAGTCTTCAAGAAAGTAGGGAAGAACTTTGAAGAACAAACAGGAGATCCTCACCATTGGGAAACCTTATGAATCCCATCAAAAATCCCTCCTAAGAGATCTTTCAATCTTCAATCCCAATACACAATCCCAAATACTGTCCAAGTGCAATCTTAAAAGAAATTTGCAAAAGAAGTCCTTGGACTGTCAATTTTTAGGACCCTTAAATAAAAAACCTATCAAAACAATTGAAATTTTCAAGTTGGCTGTCATGGATCTTATAGTACGATCATACTTCATACCTATGAATAGTTCAAAAAATCCTTTTACAATCCTGGAGTAACTGATTTTGTACTCTATCAGTCGAATGTACGAGTTGACATTGTACAATAAGAAGTCCTTGGACTGTCAGTTTTTAGGACCCTTAAATAAAAAACCTATCAAAACAACTGAAATTTTCAAGTTGGCTGTCATGGATCTTATAGTACGATCATACTTCATACTTATGAATAGTTCAAAAAATCCTTGTACAATCCTGGAGTAACTGATTTTGTACTCTATCAGTCGAATGTACGAGCTGACATTGTACAATAATGAATACCTTCAACTATAGGGTTAGTGTATTCTCTAAGTGGCCTTAGTTAATCTTTTTTTAATGTTGCTAAATCAATTTTAAGTCTTTTTTACATGTTTTTGTTTTTTTTCTAATATTTTCCTAGCATCTTTTAATTTCAATGTCAAATAAGAGTTTTATTAGTTTATTAGTACTATGCATATAACATTAAGTAGCAAAATAAAAATAATGTAAAACAATGATCAATAATAATTAAAAAAATCAAGGTAACCTTAAGCACATAAAATTTAAAGATAAAATTAGATTCAACTTGAAATTTGTTTAATAATATAAAATAATAAATAGGTTAATTAAATTCTATATTGAGTCCCTAACATCATGGCCAAAAACTTGATAGGATATTTTTTTTTACTTTAGTTTACGCACACTACTTATTCCACTAATATGGGTAAATTTTCTTAAGTGTAAGTCTTTTTTTATACAAGTGCATACATCGTGCCAATAAATAATGTGATGAAAAGAGTAACATTCACACTGAAACATAGATGCTTCCCAGATTCACATTACTACAACCTACTTAACTATTATATTCACTTAGCCCAATGATTTAAATTTAGTATAGATTAAAATAAAAAGGTACATATGCAGAAGGTAATTCATTATTTATAAAGTTCTAAACCTATGATATCTAAAAACACATAACTATATTATAGTCGTTTCTTCCAATTGTTGTTATTAAGTACTATGCATGCTGTAATAAGAAACATAATAAAAATGGTAAAACAATAATCAATAACAATTAACACTAAGCAATGCAACACTAAGCATGTAAAATTTAAAAATAAAATTATATTAAAAGAGACATTTATTTAAGAATATAAAATATAAAATAAGGTAATTAATTTTAATATTTAAGTCCCTAGCATTGGAACCAAAAATTGACAGGATATATTTTTGTGCTTTAGATTACATACAATACTTGGCCATCTAAATATGGCTTAATTTAACAAGGTGTAAGACATAATTTATACAAGTGTAGGTGTCATTTTAAGTAATTAAATGATAAGAATAACATAATTCCCATGGGGAGCCTAGAAATTCTTAGAATCAATTTAGTACTAATTACTTAAGTACTATTTTTTTTAGACCAACAATTTAAAATAGGTGTAGATTTAAATAAAAAAACTACAAATATAGAAGATAAATTCACTATTTATAAATGTTTTGAACCTATGATATTTTAAAACACATGATTTCATTAAAGAGGTTTTATACCTTTTATTGTTGTGAATCGGAGTATAAGTACTCCTCATCTTTATCGAGCTCATTAGAGTATTAACTCACATTCCTCCTAATTATAATTCTACAAAATAATTAGTATTACTTAATTTTAACCAAGATATGTCTATGTTTTGTCGGACTACCTTGTAAATCCTCTAGTTATTCTTGTACTCCTCCCTCAATGCTCTAGATCACACTTGGTTCAAAGTTTATATACGACCTATTAAAAAATATATTGCCATTGGATTTTCAATTTGTATGTCAATAATCAAATATGCAAAGGCAATAATATACCATCTTGAAAAATAAAAATGGCATTTTACTATTGATTTTAGAATAAAAATAATTTATAATTTTCATTATAAAACTTAGCATAAATATACTCCAATATCACAAAAGATAAAATGATATTCAATTATAATTTTGAAAATAAAATAAGAAGGATAAATATTTTTCTATGCCCAAACATTTTTTACAACTTTAGTGAGCTGTAGTTCAAGATTCCCCTTAAGGCAATCCCCTAAGGTTATTTTGATCTTAGAAGAAGCTCTTAAGAAAACTCATAATTAAAGTGGTTACTAAATCCTTAAAGATATATATTAATTACAAGCTATGATTGACTTCAAGATTTATACCCCATGGAATGGATCAAATGTGAACACTTATTTTGGATTTACAAGAAAAATGGTAGAGTGATTAAGATTTTTGAATACCTAAAACACTCAAACCAACAAGTGCAAATAGGATTCCCTATTAATATAAGGTAAAACTTTTGGTCAAATGAATGTAGCTAGATCTTTTTTATGCCTAAATAAAATTTTATGTTTAGAATTCAAAATTAGTGTTTAAAGATGTTAGGAGTTCAAATGCACCTAACTAATGAAATATGAAACTAAATTACCCTAAGTGTAATTTTTTTATATGACTAATGCAAATGTGCATGACAAATTTTCTAAGAAAAATTCAACATAATAAAATCCCTATACTAATAGAAATAACAAACTCAACCCCGTCACATAGGCTTGAACTTGCTTGCTATATGCTTGTATGCATTATATTTTACACATAGCAAAAAAAGTAAAATTTCTTGCCATATATGAAAATAGGTCATAGAGTTGCAAGGTAAAAGTATAAAGACCATAGAGTCCTAGGAGCCTAATGTGTTTATACAAGAAAAAAATGCAATGCCAATAAATATAAAAAAATTATGTAGTTCTATATCACAAACAACAACAACAACAACAACAACAACAAGCCTTTATCCCACTACGTGGGGTCAGCTACATGAATCTTTTTTCTCCATTGTGTCCTATTAAAAGTCAAATTCTCATTTAAATCTAATAAAGAAAGGTCATTCCTAATATTTTCTAACCAAGACTTTTTAGGTCTACCCCTACCTTTCTTAACATAAGTCAAATCTAATACCTCTACTCTCCTAACCGGGTCATCGCAAGTCCGCCGTTTTATGTGACCAAACCATCTAAGGAGACTTTCTCTAATCTTATCTTCTACTGGGGCTACTCCAACCTTTTCACGTATATGCTCATTTCGTATCCTATCTCTAAGGGTAAAGCCACTCATCCACCTGAGCATCCTCATCTCTGCCACACTTAACTTAGTATTATGCTTCTCTTTTAAAGGCCAACATTCGGCACCATAAAGCATTGCAGGCCTCACTACCATCTTATAGAATTTTCCCTTAAGTTTGAGGAGTACATTTCTATCACATAACAAGCCCGATGCATTCCTCCACTTCAACCATCCGACTTGAATTCTGCTGATAATATCCCCATCTATTTCACCATCACTCTGAATAATAGATCCAAGATATCTAAAACGTGTACTCTTATTAATGACTTGATCGCCCAAAGTCACAATCCCCTCACCAGGTCTATTACTACTAAAATTACACTCCATATATTCCGTTTTAGATCTACTCAAGCGAAAACCTTTAGACTCTAAGGTTGACCTCCATAATTCAAGTTTACCTTCAACTCCCTCTATAGTCTTATCAACAAGAAGAATATCATCAGCAAAAAGCATACACCAAGGTACATCCTCTTGGAAAATAGGAGAAGGTAGAGAGAGAAGGTAGAGAGAGAAGGTCTGAGGAAAAACAAGTTTCTGCGTGTTTTTTTTTCAAATATTCAAATTTGCCAATTTACCGCAGAATCAATGGCGACGGATGTTTGCCGACCACCGATCTCCGGTGGTCCTATGGATGCTCGGCGTTCTTCCACAAGCTTGTTTCATGGCACATCGAAGTCACTTTCCGCATCTCCACCGGCATTTGGTGATATCCCGACAAGTTTTATCCAAGGTTCCAAAGCAAAGTTCCGTTCAGGGTCTCCTCTGGTTATTAATGAGGGAGGATTGATTTACCTCCTATAAAATTAAAAGAAGTCTCTGGGAAAGGAAAAGGTGTACTAGAAGAAGATCCATCGTCCAATATTCTGAAGAACAAAGACCTCTTTAGAGTTAGGGAGCTGGCAACTTCTGAGGTTGCTTCAATCTCTCCTGAAAATGATCCTGTTTTTTCTGATATTCAAATCTCTGTCAGAAGCGATTCTGAAATTTTAATTGCTGATAACAACAAGGGAGTTCAAGATAAGGAGAATTCAAAATCTGTAATTCTGAATAATTCTGTTAATGAAGGAATTAGAAACCAAGGTTCAATTGATCTGGAAAATGTTCGTGTATGCAACAATGGAGAGCTTGGCTCTTGCAAGGAAACAGTTAATGTTATGGATGAAAGAAATCCGCCGATCTTACATCAAAATTCTTGGGCAAAAAAAGAACATATAAAAGTATCTCACTTAGAATTTGGTGAGTTCAGATCTGAAGATGGTATCTCCGTTAAGCTCAATGTAGACAAGGTAAAGGAAAATTCAAAAAAGCTACAAAATTCCATTGTTATCAAAGTGTTTGGCAGCAAAATTCCTTTCCCTGTGGTCAGTACAGAACTTAGAAGGCAATGGACTCCTTATGGGAAATTCCACTTAACAATGTTAGGAATGGATTGGATACTTTGTTCATTCTACAATAATGAATCCTTGGAAGCTGTTTTCAATAACGGACCTTGGTTTGTTAATGGGAAAATAATTGGTATGGATAAATGGTCTCCTAATTTTGATCCTTCCTCCTTAAAAGGGTTGAGTGCGCCAATTTGGATAAGGCTTCCAAATCTACCTCTCCTTCGTTGGGATGAAATTAATATATGTAGAATTGCTTCTACAATTGGTCAGCCCCTAATGATTGATGGTAATCTTTTTCAATGGGGAAGAAGGGAGTTTGGTAGAGTTTGTGTTCGTATCAAACTAGACATTGCATTACCAAAAGGAACTTGGGTTGAAAGCAGCTCGGGCAAGTTCTATCAAAAATTTGAATATGAAAGAATCCCGGAATTTTGTTTCTGCTGTGGCAAAATTGGTCATGATAAGTCCAATTGTTCTTTTAACTCATCTGTTACTAATTCTGTTTCTAATAAGGAAGGGGATCCTCCAAAGAATACTGAAGAAATTACCTTTAACAACAAGGTGTCTAAAGAAGCAGAAAAAGATAATTTTGGATATGGACCTTGGTTGCAGGTTAACTATGGCAAGAAGAGGAATTTGTACAAGAATCAAGGCTTTAAAGATAAAGTAGTTGATGGCAACAATATTCCAGATTCTGTTTCAAAAAAACAAATATGGAAGGAAGTAGAAGCATTGGAAGTTCCAAATAAAGTGGTGCAATTTGCTACTTTGGAAGGAGTCCAGGAAGATCCTATTAACGAATCTGTTTGTTTACAGCATTCTGAAATCTCTTCAAAAATCATCTTGGATAAAAGGTCAAATGTTCATAACTCTTCTTTTATCTCTTCTAACAAATTCAATTTGCTAGATGATATTAGCGAGGAAGGAGAAATCATTTCAGCTGAATTGGTTGATGATCTTGCTTGTAAAATTCTGGAAGAAGTTTCTAATAATTCAGATAAAGGAATTATCAACAAGGAAGATCTTTCAAGTAATTCCTTGAATGTTAAAGATGGTAGTCCCTCTCTTATGAAAAATAAAGGCAGCAAACAACTAAAAGGACTAGGTCCTATCAATTCTACGCCTAGAAGCAGAAGAGCAGATAAAGTTAACAAAGATAAGTTGGGGTCTTCAACCCCTCTTAAGCAATGAATTCTTCCATAGCTTTTTGGAATTGTAGAGGATCTAGAAAAAGAAGAGCTTCTCTATATTTAAAGGAGATTGTTAAAGAATTTGGAATTTTTTTCATAGGTTTATTAGAAACCAAAATTACTTCTTTTGAGAGAAAGGAAGTGGATACTCTTATAGGTTCCGATTGGAACTTCTTTTGTTTGTGTTCCATCAGATGGCTTATCAGGGGGCATTCTTGTATTATGGAAAGGCAACTTTGCTTCTTTTAAAATTTTAGATTCGTCTTCCCAATTCATTGTGGGGGATTTGGAGATTCTCAACAAAGGAACTTGGAGAATTGCTTCTATCTATGGAAGCAAGGATGTTTATAGAAGAAGATTGCTTTGGGAAAGATTGGAATTCTTTACTAACAAAGATATCCCTATGGTGATAGGAGGAGATTTTAATTGCATTCTTTCAAGTGAAGATAAAAGGGGAGGGAAAAGATTTAAACTTTCCCAAGGACCCAAGGAGATGAAAACATTTCTAGCTAACAATGATTTACATGAAGTTGGTTTCGTAGGACCAAAATTCACTTGGTGCAACAACAAGCAAGGGCCAGAATGCATCCTTGAAAGATTAGATAAGTGTTTTATAAACCCAGCTGTTGTTTCTTCGTCTAATCTTCTTTGTGTTAAGCATTTAGCATGTGTGGCTTCGGACCAATGTCCAATTGTCTTGAACCTTATGGTTTATCATAATAAGGAGAAGATTTTAAGATTTGAGGATGTTTGGGCTCAAAACAAAGCTTCTATGGCTGTGGTTAACAAAGTATGGAAAAAGAAGTATAGAGGGAACGCTGCCAACATATTGAATAGTAAAATGAAAGATTCTCTCAAATCCCTTTTCTATTGGAGCAAATCAAAAATGCAGAATTTACTTTCTCTTAAGAATGATCTTTTATTTCAAATTGAAAATCTTCAAAAGAAAGAGGCTAATGAAGGATGTCTTTCGATTGATGAAAGCTGGAAGCTTAAAGCTTTAGTGGGAGAATTTAACTCAACTCTTGCCAAACTTGATACTTGGTGGAAACAAAGAGCAAAGGTGAAATGGATGGTGGAAGGAGACCGAAACTCTAAATTCTTTCAATCATTTGCTTCTTCGAGAAGGAATTCTAACTTTATTTCCAAGATTAAAAATGATGTTGGTGAAGTAGTAGAAGAACAAAAGCTTATTGTAAATGTTTTCTTAAAACATTTTCAGGATAAATGGAAGCTCCGAAGATGTATTTTGGAAGATCGGCCTTCTTCATGGTGCTGTCTAAATGAGGATGATAAAACTGCTTTAAACAAACCCTTCTCTATTGAAGAAATGGAAATTGTTATCAAAAACAGTGGTAACAATATCTCTCAAGGTCAAGATGGCATCACATTTTCCTTCTTTAAAGCTTATTGGGAAATTATCAAACTTGATCTTTGGAATGCTATTAAAGAATTCTTTGAAAATGCTGTAATGGATCCTAAATGGAAAGAAACAATTGTTGTTCTTATTCCAAAAATCAATAATCCATTATCTCCTTCTAATTATAGACCAATTAGCCTTTGTAATTCGGTCTATAAATTGGTGGCTAAAATCCTAATGAATAGAATGGCTCCCTATATCTCTAAATTGATTTCTTATGAACAAGTAGCTTTTATCAAAGGAAGATCTCTTAATGATCATGTGTTGATTGCCCAAGAAGTTATTCATAAACTAAGGAATTCTAAATCTTCAAAAGGCTTTGTGGTTTTCAAAATTGATATGGAACAAGCCTATGATTCCATGGGTTGGACAACCTTGGAAAAAGATTTGCATTATTTCGGTTTTCCAGAATTCTTCTCAAAGCTGATTTTAAATTGTATTCAAAGTTCCAAATTCTCTATTTCTATAAATGGTAGCTTATCTAAATGGATTGAAGGTCAATGTGGCTTTAGACAAGGTTGCCCCTTGTCTCCTTTTCTATTCATCATTTGTGCTCAATTACTTTCTAATGCCTTCAGACAAAAAGGTGATGAATTGGGAATTCGAATTTCTTCAAATGGGCCTTCCATATCTCACTTATTATATGCTGATGACGTGATCATATTTTCAGAAGCTACATTGAAGGCTACCAAACAAATTAAAAAAATCTTGGATAATTTCTGCAGTTGGACAGGTTTGTCTATCAACTCTAACAAATCTTCTATGATTTTTCAGCAAACTTGTTAGAAGAAGGAGAAAGAAAGCCATCATCCATTTGTTGGGTTTTAAATCTGTAAATCAATTAACCTATCTTGGAGTTACTCTAACTTTAACAAGGTTAGCTAAACAAGATTTTCATTTTATTATTGATAAAGCTTTGAAGATGACTAACATATGGGGAAGTAAGATGATTTCTTTGGCTGGAAAAATTCTTTTAGCTAAAACAGTTTTGCTCTCATTCACCACCTTTCATTGTACCAACTCTCTTGTGCCTAAGAGTATTCTAGATGAGGTGGACAAAATTTGTAGAAATTTTATTTGGAACAAATCTAATGGTGATTATGGAATACACTATGTTAATAGGTTAACTATGTGTTTAGCAACCAAATGGGGAGGTAGAGCTCTTCACTCTTGTTCTACTAAACTTGGCCCAATAAGATCCAAATTGACATGGAAATATTTATATGAGAAAGATTCATTTATTCACAAGGTATTCTTCCCCAAATATGGAAATCTACTTGAAAAGGTAGATTTGAAAAATTCTTGCTCTAATTCATGGAAAATCTTGAAGTCCGGTGGTAAATCATTATTGCCATTTATTAGATGGAAGGTGGCAAACGGCATTGACATTGATGTATATAAAGATACATGGATTTTAGATAAAAGTTTGAATAAGTGGCCAACATTCATTTCCCCTATAGAAGATGACATATTTTCTGTTTCGAACTTTATAGAGAATGGTAGATGGAATGTGGATCAAATGAGAAAGATTATGGGTGAAGATCTTGTAAATTTGATTTTACAAACCATTAACCCGTTAGATCAAGAAGATGATAAAATGGAGCTATTACTTCAGGGCAATGGTAAATCTTTATCAGCCATGGTTTTTGAAAATTCGGTGAAACACAATCCTACGGCTTACTACTGTAGTTGGATAAAAAATGCAAAACTCAATCCAAAGGTGGAGACTTTTTGGTGGAGGATCTTTAATAACGCATTAGCTACCAATGATTTCCTGGAACATAGAAAATTTCAAAGGATAAATCTTTGCCCAAGGAACTGTAATGTTGCTGAAAATAGAGATCATTTGACTACTAATTGTCAAAAGCTTAAGGAAGTTATTTCTAAAATTAAAGAATGGGGATTTTCATTCAAAGAATATCATACATTGCAAGATTGCTGTAAGGATCTTTCTTCTCTAAATCCCTTCATGATCAATCTCTATTGCTCAATGGTTTTCTTAACATGGAAGTCCAGGAATAATCTTCTCTATAACGAAAAGGATGATAGCACATTGTTTATAGCTTCAAATGCAATAAGCTTTGCTTCAATCTCTATCCAAGGAATTAGTAAATTCTCGGGTATATGGGATGTCAACCAACCTTCAAGGTTGTCTTTATCTCATTGGTACCCCCCTCCACCCGATTGGCATAAAGTGAATGTGGATGCTACTCTTCTATCCAATTACAAAGCTGGAATTGGAGGTATTTTTCGTGATCATAAAGGAAGATTCCTTCTTGCTTTTGGTAAACCGTATATACATTGGGATATCTATTCTTTGGAACTATTTGCTACTCAACACATTAAAGAAGAAATGAAGGATTGGATGTTTAAATTCAAAGGCATAATCATAGAAGGAGATAATCATAATGTTATGGAATTCTTGAAGCTTTCTTAGCATCCTTACGAGCCATTTTATATATTTCTTAATTATCATAATTTTTAAAATTAAACCAATTTTTATAACAAAGCTTCTTATTTTTAATTTTTTCTTGCACATTAGGATTCCACCACCAACTATTTTTACTATTGGGAGCTTTTCCCTTTGATACTCCAAGGACATCTTTTGCAATATTCTTAATATCACTAGCCACTTTTTCCCACATAATATTAGCATCCTCATGCACAGACAAAATCTTAAGATCTAAAATCTTATTTCCAAAAATATTTTTGTTAATATTCTTTAAATGCCCCCATTTAATCCTAGAAAATTGTTTTACTTTATTTTTTATTTTATGCCCCTTTATCTTAAAGTCCAAAACTAATAATCGATGTTGGGTACATAAATTTTCACTCGGAATAACTTTACAATCTTTGCATTCTAAACGGTTTAATTTTCTAATAAGAAAATAGTCAATCTGGGTTGTATTATATCCATTTTTATAAGTGATGAGATGCTCATTCCTTTTCTTAAATAAGGTATTAGCAATTAAAAAATCATAAGCTAAATAAAAATCCAATATGGTCTTGCCACCTTTATTCGTCATTCCAAATCCATGGCCACCATGAATGCTTTTAAAATCATCTACCTCTCTACCAACATGTCCATTTAAATCTCCTCCAATAAAAACTTTTTCTTCGAGAGGTATATTTTGTATTAATTCTTCTAAGTCATTCCAAAAATTTAATTTAGAACTCATATCCAAACCTACTTGAGGAGCATAAGCACTTATAATATTAACAATCTTATCATCAACAACAATCTTTAAAGCTATAATTCTATCTCCAATCCTATTAATTTTTATAACATTATCCTTTAAACTCTTATCTATAATAACACCTACACCCTTTCTAGTATGACTCCTACCCGAATACCAAAGTTTAAATCCTAAACTATCAATTTCCTTAGCCTTATCTCCAACCCATTAGTTTCCTGAATGTACAAAATATTTAACTTCCTATGAATCATAATATCTATTAATTCCATTAATTTTGCTGTAAATGAACCTATATTCCAAGTTCCTATCCTAATTTTTGTTTCATGGACTAGCTTTTTTGCCCACATCCGTCCTTGCTGTGGGAACCCTTGCCTATTTAACACTGCACCCGGGCGCCGGTGCAGCGGCCCTTGCACACTTGTCACTGTATTCAGGCCATACAGCGCGTCACTTCCAGGGAACTCCCTAGCATTAACACAATTTCTTAAAGGATTCATGTCATTATTGTTCCACAAGTTTTACGCTGGCTGTTGCCTACCTAATGCAACCCTCCACTTTTCTCATCCAGGACTAGGGACCTGGCAACGGCAGTGTTAAACATAAAGAACAAACAAGGGTCTATTACAAACATATACATGAAAAAAAGTTTGTTCCAATTGTAACATAAAGAACAAACAAGGGTCTATTACAAAAAAAAAAAGTGACCAACCTCCACCAACTAAAATCCTATATTTTTACACTTACATAATGATGCAAGTCTATGAAAAAGTTTCTTATTTAAAGTCTTCATGCTACAAACATCAAGCTCTAGGCATTAATAGACATATATAGAATTCCAAAGAGGCAAAACTTAAAGAGATTCATTCTTTTTTAATTTTATATATACACCCAGACACAGACACACACACACACACACACACACACTATACTTTAGACTTTCACAACTCTTTATAAATTATAATTCTATTGAAATTGACATTTAGATTTAAAAGAGAAGGACTATATTTTAGCAATGGTTTATATAAAAAATTGATATGTATATCATCTACATTATTATAGATCATATCACAAAAGTGTAATGAAAGTGAACACTCATATCATTATATATCCACCATAATAATATCAAGCAATAATAAAGTACAGGAAAGTAAACACATTGTCCTAGCCTAGGCTAGAGTTGGTTATCCTATCAAACAATTGTAATATATGTGCTAAGCTATGTGTCTTAGATATATCCTAAATGAATTAGTGACAGAGTTATATATAAGTTGAGTTTATATTTTGCAAGCCTAAGGGCTTCAAATTAAGTTTAAAATTTATTTACTTTACAATTTATTTATAACTTTTAATCTGTTTATATTGTTTACTTTGGGCTTTAACGAACCTTGTTAATTGAAAACTTTAATGTTCCTTAAAGATCTTAATCAATAAGTTCTGGTATTTCAAATGAATTCATTTGTTCTATCACAAAGGTTGATGCAAACACATAAAGCATCCCATTATTTAAAAAATTAATTTAATTTAATATGTTAATTCAGAACTTCAAATTGCTTTGAGTCGTCAATTAATAAGTCCTAGGCTTTCAAATGAATACATTTTTCTCTACCCTAAATAAAAAAATTAACACGTAAAGATTTAGCTTCATTTAATTATTTCTTTAGGTTTGATTTGATTAAAAAATCATTTAAAATTATTTATGCTAATAAAATGAAATAAAATTTGTTTTATTACTTTAATCTATGTGACTTAAATCTTTTAATATTTATCTGATATTCTTCTATTTTTACTTTATTTATTTGATTTTAAATTAATAATTTTTATATGAATTTTTATTTATTTTTAATTTTATTTATTATCTTTATTACATTTGGATTTTTAATTTTATCTAAAATTTTGATTTATTTTTATTATTTTAGTTTGGCAGATTTTATATTTTTCATAAATTTGATTATTTTTTTGAAGTTTAATGCACTTTATTTTTTATTTTTAGGATTTTTATTTAATTAACTATGAATTTTTAAAAATCTATCTTTATTTTGTATTTATTGAAGCACTTAGGTTATTTTTTATTTTTTGTACCAAATCAACTCCATCATCCTGAAATCATCAACATAGTTCAAAAATGACCTAGTATGGGATCACTAGTAATTTGAAGTTATTTGGCATTTTTCTTTAATTTTTTATTTAAATTTATTATCAATTTATGCAATTGAAATTAGCATTTGCTAATTGATTGCTAATTGACAAATGAAATGGGTAACAATTTGCTTGGAATTTAAACCTTGGGTTTATATTGACCTAAGGATTAAACCATGTCAATTTGATCTCATCAAAGTCCTCCGATTATGAATTTTTATGTAAATAAATCTATACTTTAGAAAATACATGTAATGCAATCTAGATAATATTAAGATGAAATGAGTTGAAGTCTTACTATCCACAAAAGAACATACCAAAATTCTCTATAGATTATTCTATTTGAAAAGTTAAATTTCTAGGTAAAATTTTCACATAAAGATTTTAATTTTCAATTAAGGCCACTCCAAGTTTCTAATTTACTTGGAAAAATTTTTGTAATATGTATAAGAACACAAAAAATAATCCCTAAATATTTGAAGATAATTAAATTTTTGTACATGAAGAAATTTATTAAATATAATGGATTTTATTTATCAAATTACTTAAAATATACATTACATCATGCCTTAATTTTACATTCATTTGATAGATCTTCTCAAATTTAATTCATAGAGGGATCGTTCATGTAATTTGTCTAACTATGTGAGGAGTTACTATTTTTTAATTTTAAAATAAATTATCTAAATTAATTCCACAATCCCAAACAAATATCAAGTCAAACATGTTGTCATCTGATTGGCCATATAATGATTGTTGTGTTCTCTAGATAGTGCAACATTGGTATCAATCTTTCGATGGGAAAAATATAATGAATAAATATTGCAAGATCAAAGTAAGGATACAAGTCTGAAAAAATTATATCGACTATTTAAATTTAATGGAATAGAGGATTGTGATTTTGTCTTCAACCTCCTACTCTTATTTTTAATGGCATGAATTATTTTGACTGATTTTTTAGATGAACTACATGGATTTTGCTCAATTGACCAAAAAGGATCATTTGATAGTGACTTTCAATCCAATGGATCTATGATCATGGATTAGTGGTTTCCTTCATAGTTAATAAGACCTATATTAATACAGGCTTGAGATTGGAAATTAACTCTATTTAGTAGACAATTAAAGAAACTTTGGTTATTTTATGTTTGTCTACACCCTGTGAATAAATGGATAAGGAATTAGATTTAGCTTAAGAGGGATCATCGGAGATCACCTAATTTCAATCAAGAAGCTGATTGGAAGGCTTAGGAAGCTCATGGGTGATTGGGGAGGGCTTTATGAGACTATATATAACATATTGTAGATATTATAGTTTAAAAATATTTAGTATTTATAGATTGAATTTCACTTTATTTTGCTCACATTCTTGCGAGGGGAGGATCGACAAAGCTATTCTTTAAATTTATGTTCCAGTCATAGACTAGTAGGTATGCTGAAAGAGTTGAGGCTATACGGTTAGTTAGTCATTCCATTATCACCATACTAATGAAAATTGAACCTATTATGGATTTTTTTGCTAACATAAGACTTAAAAAGGGTTGGCATTGGCTAAATAAGTATTTAGGGCTTTAAGGAAGAAATGTAATGAGTTGGCTTGGACCAATCGGGTATGGATAGCAAAATGGCCCACAAATTAGGTTATTTAACACTTGGGTTAGCTAATTTGGCTAACCCAAGCTTGCCATTAGCCATGCTTAATAGGTAGGAATAGGGGGTTTATACACATATGATGCATATACTAGATTGAGCTAATTTTACTTCAAGAGTAAAATGGTTATATGAAACCCCTTTAGGTGCACTTGGGCTAGTCCAATTGGCTAAACTAGGTGGGCCTAGGGGTTGTACAAGATTGGGTATAATATTAAGTGGCTAATAGACCTACATAAAGGGTTTATAGGCCATAAACTCACCTAGCTTACTTGAATTAAAGATACATATATGGTACTGATGGTCAACCATGGTTGACCTTGCCCTAGGATTGGGTGCAATGGTCCAAATGAGTCATGGAGTTTATTAGAAGAGGTTTAGGACATTTCATAGTCTATATAATACTAATCCTCATGTAAAACATTAGTTTAATGATGGTTTTGGTTAACCATTG